GTGCGGGGAGGATCGCGCGAATTTACTCGCAAACACGGGATCACGGTTTCGAAGAGCTCGGTCCTCCAACTCGTCAATCTGAGATGGGAGAACTCATTGGAGGGGTTTCAAACACAAAGTTTGTCTTTCACTTTCCCAAATTCAAAGAAAGGAATAACGTAATATTCCTTTTACTTTCGATTTATAATCTTTCTCTCTTTTTGAATTTTTTCAAATTTCTAATCTATGCAGCTTATATTTGCAGATAATTACGGTGTTAAACCGTTTGTCCACAATTTCCTTCCTATGTGACATCCAAAATGTCACAGTTTCTCAACGAGTAAGAAGTTAAGTAAATCCGACAAATATGAGTAACAAGTCGAGAATTATAAGTACATACTAGACTTACTAGAGAAACGAGATATCGTTACCGCTCTTTCGGCGTAGCAGCATTCCTGCAAGAATCCGAGAGCAGGGTGTTGCGAAAGCCGAATAAGTTTGAATAGAGCCCGCATTCCGCATCGAATATCCCGAGAAACTCATTAAGTGAGTTGCCCCATCAAGCGAGCGACCGGGCAGAGAGCGGCATGATGGTGGAGGGTGGAGGGTGGAGGGTGAGGGATTGACGAGTGGGTGGCAATGGCAGCTGTTTGTTCGACTTTAGACGGTTCGCAGCAAAAGTATCCGACTAGTTACGAGGCCGCTTCGTTTACGTCGCTCGCTTCGTGACGATAACGCTTAACAATAAGCGTGTTACGCTTGTCCGGTTAAACTGCACTTGACTTTGAAATTACCCGAATTACCGTCCAACTTCAACGCCGAGATCATTTACATTACTTCTCGCATTGTCTCGTGTTTCTACTTCAAAATTATCCAGCTCTTTTTAGTTCTAATAAATTAATACGAATTGATGCTTGTTGTGATTGTGTGTTTAATAGTGATTATGTTTAATAGAAAATATATACTATTTTAAATAATAGTGATAGTAATAAATCAATAATAGATAGATTTAAGATACCAATAAGAAAAGAAGAATGTAAGCAAGAAACGTGAAAAATAAGAGGCAATGTAATTGAATCCAGATAAGATTAATTGAACCATATTTATATGTGACAACGTATAATATAAGAGTTTTTTTCCTATCCATAATAATAATAATAATAATAACAATAATAATAATAATAATAATAGGAAAATAGCTCATCTAAAGTTAAATTGCATTAACACAATTTTAGCTATGTTTTGTACAGTTTATTGGAGAAGAAAGTTCTCAATTGGATTTCCAAATTGGAAATTGATGGTCCAAATGCTCCAAACAATTACAATTCGTAAATGAAACCACAATGGCCACTAATAGCACGCTATTTTCACAGATTGTCGATATCAGTAACAATTATCATTAACCGACAATATTGCAGAATATTGTATATATCTTTATCACTTTTTTCGTATATCGAATAAATGTTTCAATATATAGATATATACAGATATTCCAAAAATATTTATTTAACATTAATTTTATCATAATTTTTAAGTCAAGGAGATCGAATTATGCTGTCGATAACAGCTTTTCTTAATTAACATTATGTCAATTAAGAACTAAAAATATAAAAGTATAATATCCTTTCACGATAACCTTCCAGGAACGAGAAAAAATTTCTGTCGCTCACCGCGCTATCAGATGATATCGTTATTAATATGCCGCGTATGCGATGCAAGTACCTGATTTCTCATCGTCGTACACCTGCGCGTGCAGTGATTCCGAAATAAATACGACAGTAAACGCACACGGGCGACACGGGCGTACAGCCGAGTGATGCAGGTTTTTTGACGAATTAACCGCGTCATCAAAAGACCATAGTATTTTATTAGCTGTCAGAACGCGGTGTGCGGTGCTTTTTATTAAAATCATATTTGTCTCTATTTTTGCTGAGTATTTTATCGAATATCACGAACGTACTTTCGTGGTAAAAGCGATGTTATCTAAACTGCGAACATTAAAAGTTATAACCATATCTGTGCTACATATCAGTTATCTAAATAATCATTTCCTGTTTCTACACCAATTCCATTAAGAGCTTGTGGTATAAAAACTTTTTTAAAAGATATAGAGAAAATGCGGATATTGCGAAAAGTGAGGCAATGAATCATATCATGATATCTAGCCTATTAAATGACAACTGAGCGGACAGTAGCGGAATTACTAGCTGCTGCATCCTTAAGTTATAGTACAAAGCGGCAACGTAGTATACAAAGTGTCATAATACGTTAAATTAAAGATTTGGTATGTATCGCTTACTGCGTAAGGTTAGTTTATAAACTTTTATTTTACAGTTAATTTACTTCACAGATACTTAGTACTTAGTCGCTTTTTATTGCATGTAAAACTAATACAGAAATTTAGTGTAATCTATTTAGCAAGTGTGTACATTCCATCATATGATGAAATGTATACACTTGCTAAATAAATTACACTAAATCTACGGTATAACAATGTCAGATAGTCCGGGATCTACTTTCAGTTTCACAGACCTAATCTAATAAAACAGAATCTACTTAAAATCTAACAATGATAGCGGAAAAATGCTGGAATTGTCTTGTACAAGAGTTTTTTCTACAATTGCCGACAATTTGTATGTTTACTTCTCTCGCTATTAAGCAAAAATCATTGATTACGGACTAGAGAAAAGACTATGTTGAATCCAATTTGAACCTGGTGTGGCGCACTCTTGCATCTCTGTCAACTGGGTCGAATACCACTGAGAGAACTAGTCGGTGATCAAAGATCAGTGCGCGACATTGCCGGATCAAATATCCATTTCCGTTTCTACCGACATAAAGCGTTTGCATGGCCTGAAACCGGAAATGATGAGCCCTGCCTTTGCGATGAAATGAGCGCGGAGAAAGAAAAACTGGTTTCTTTTCTGGACTCTTTTTTTACATTAATAATCTAACCGTTCCTCTAGAGAAAATCTCATCAAGAGATATGGATCATGATTGCTTCAAAAGACATCCTCCTGAATTGTAATAGCCATTTAAAGCAACCTGATGCATTAAAATATATGTATAAGTATATAAAAATTTGTATATATATAATAATGACATATTAGGTCAATATCTTCTTCGATGCTTATTTATTACTGTTGTTATTATTATTATTTTATTTATTATTTTTTTAGGCATTATGAAATAAATTTAAATTAAAGAATGCAACAATAAGTATTGACACAAATAAATATATATAACTATTGACTTCTTTAAAGAAGTTTTATTTCATTTATGGTAATGAAACAAATTTAAGTGTGGTATTCGTCTTATAGTGTTATCTTGTTATCTAATCAGAGAAACGCAAACTTCTTGCATGAATAAATGCAAATAACGATCAACGACTACTTCTTTTGCCAGTCATATCTTGATAATTAAGGTAGCAAATAAAAAAACGCGAACATCAACATACACATGTGTATTAATTCACACCAGCAGTAAATGAGTGTACTTGCATAGTAGCTGTGTAATATGTGATGTGTTAATCGTGATAAGTGTGTCACATGCGATGTGTTAATCGCACGCTATTTCTTTTTCACGAGAAATTGAAAGTGAGAATCGCATTGTGATACCCAGCCCTCACTCATCGATATATTTCCTTCACCACGAATTCCGCTGAGTTCTGTGTTATCATTTCTTCCTATTTTTAAATTGTTCGCGTTCTCACAAATAAGTTCCATTTATTTTAATATAGATCCGTTTTGTTTTTCTAATAACATTCGATCGAAGAATAAAAGAGATTAAAAGCACTTAAAAGCTTATACTCGCGATTAATTACATGATAGAAATTTTCTTTCTTCCTTTTGTCGAAATCGAGTAAACATGAATACTGAACAATGAAAACTCAAAAAACCATAGACCGTTTTATAATAGTACTTTTGCTTTTTTATAACGTGTGGCTGTAGATATGTTAATATAACTTTTCGATTAATTGCTTTTTCTATATATGCTTTCTCCACGCTTTTTCTATGAAATGAAAATTTATACAATCTTATAAGATAATTTTTCTCTAAAGTTATAAAAATAAGACCATATGTTCAATAATAGTTACTAACAGATGTTTCTAATCTTTTTTTCTAATCATATCTAGAGATTTCTAGGATTCACTGATTATTGCTTCCGGATCAATCTTTCCCGCTCGCTTAGATTAGCTCATAAACGCAAACTTTGAGAGAGAGAGAGAGAGAGAGAGAGGAGAAACACTGATTTACAATATTTATTATCTGCCAGTCTAACAAACAAAAGAGAAACACTAATGAACAAAATTGAAGTGTGGAGCATTGTTTCTGTTTAGTCTTTTATGCCGCTTTATACTTTAAGACGTAATACAACCACGTATGCGACACTTTATACTTTAAGGTGTAATACAATCATGTATGGGACGCTTTCGCACCTTGCCTGTCTAGTCCGGGCAGAAAGTCGACCTTGGCATTGTAACGTATTGTATGTGCATAAGTAACGTTACAATTAAATTACTAAAAATTAGATAAGAAACAATCGTTCTAAATTCTTCAATTAATATGAGTAATATGAGACTGTCTTAATGCGGTTAGTAAAGTTGACGTTATTACGACAGCTTTGATAACGACAGATATTGTGCAACAAATAAGACGATTTAAATAATCGCTTTTATAAAAATAAAAATTTTCACAATTATTTTAAAATGCAAATATATAATGATCTTATCAATATCATTTCGTTAAATTAAATAGTTCTCTCAAATATAATTTCAAAATAAATAAATAAAATAAATGGAAGTTTTACATTACACTTTTTATCGCAATATTTTTACTCATTTTCGTAAAATAAAAAATGTAAAAATAATAAGTAATAAAAAATACAAAATTTAAATTATTAAAATGCCTACAATTTTTATATTTTATTATTTTTAATATATATATAAATTAATTAAATTTAAAAATCAATATTTAATCTAAGTTATAAATCGACTGATTTTCAAGACGCTTGATTCATTAATGAGAAACAGCTGAGACACACCCGTAACAATTGAATCGTTTAACCCGATTTTATTAGCGGGTTACGCGAGCGGGAAACTCGCCAGAAAGAGCGATCGCGTTTTATAGTCCGATCGGACGCGTAGAATCGTATCCCACCGCGGATTACACCGATAAAAAAAAATGCATATCTGCTGAACACATTCTCGCAAAGTACATTTGCTTTTCTATCCAAAGTGAACGCACGGTCGGATACTTGGCGCAATTAGTTCTGTTCGAGAGCAACAAGGAGCATCTGACGGAGAACGAGCTACCTAAATCGACTGGGGTTTCTATTTTCGTCCTGAGAGAAGCGGGACGAACTTCATCACGTCGAGCACAGTCGTCTCTTCAGCTCGTCGCGTCGGATATGCCCACTAGTGACCGGGATCATGACAAGATCGCCACGACGACCGGTGAGAGCCCGAAGCCCTTCTTGCGTTACATCCGGTAGTGTTAACCCAATATACTTCGAAGTCGAAGTAATTCTGCATAGTGAGTTAACGAAGTGGAGTACATAGGAGCAAATGAGAGTCATCCCACGAGTTCCTATCCAGATTACCGAACAGTGAGATATTAAGAGAAAATATAATTTTACTAATTAGTCTCTTTTCTAACAAATCTACTTCTGTGTATAAGTGTAAATTTCTGTATAGATTGAAAACATGTATAGATTTCTATGCTCGTCTGTGATTAACATATCACTTTGCAGAAACGATATGCGGACATAGTTATCGCAAATTGTATGTATAATGTGTTATGCATGAATTTTAGACGAGTTTCATGTATTATAAGTATCTAATTGTAAGTACAAGCAGACATTTTAATATCTATTTTCTCAATGACATATACTAGATAAGTCACGTTCTCGCCGGCAACTTTGTGGTGGTGTGTAGCATATCGTAATTATTTTCAAAAAAAACTACTGAATACGATCCTTCGTTTTCTTCTTTCTTCGTCTTATCTGTAACCAGATGGTACTTTCTGCACGTAAATATCTCTGTATCTAGATTCTTTCATATATTTTAACTGCGTCGTTTGTTACATAATTCACAATGTAGATACGAGGTCTCATTTCGCAAACTCACTCGCTTTTCGGTTTTCAGATAGCACTAACGAACCCGCCGATTTCGATAGAGCCATCTCTACGACCGGTAAGGTCTCTTAGCGTCATTTCAAATGCATAACCATTTTCACTTATTTTTAAATCTTATTTAATTTGTTTGTCTCAGGCTATGGGTTATTTAATGTATTGCTGCTACTGGCGGTGTTGCCAATCGCGTGGACCGCCACTTTTGACACCACTTCCGGCGCATTTATCTTGGCATCGGCCGAATGCGATCTCCAACTCATCACGTTCTTTCGCAAAGGTGTACTAGTTGCATTTCCTTACATAGGTACATAAATTTAAATTAGGATCAATTGAAGTAATCATAATAATACTATATAAATTTAATACTAACAATCTATAGAATCGTGATAATTTTTTAAAAAATTACTATACTAAAAGATATAGCAATTTAGCATTAAAAATACTCAATTTCTTTACAAACCCTTTTAAAACAGTAAAATACTATATTGGACATTATTATCATGTTATAGATTCTTTATTGCAATTAACTTATAACATTATATCTCTATTAAAATATTATTTTACAAAATATCTCTTTATTTTACAGAGTTTAATTTATATTATATATTGTGACATTACTGATTTTTTACAGCTATGATAACAACGGGTTTTATATGGGACTACATAACGCCCTACATAAGTATGAAAACACTGTTCATACTCGCATTATTCGGTGATTCGATTTTGAACATTGTAAGCAGTGGTGTACAATCATACTATGCATTTCTACTAGTCAAATTTATCAGCGGAATCTTGTAAGTATTTTTTCTGAGAAAGCTACCAAAAATTTTTATTTAAAAATCTCTTAAAGCACAACTGTTTTATGATCGTTTTATTCTCTTATTCTGAAAAGAATATTTACTATTTTTTCGTGTTAAATATTTTGGCGAAAAATTATTTCTGGAATTTCTACTTAAAGAATTCTAATTAGTCAAACATTTAATATCGACATCTATTTCTGATTAACAAAATAATATTTTCTACGTTAATCGAATTTTTTTCTAAAATTCTTGAAAATAATTCAAGCACATCCTTTTTTAACCTTAAGGTTTATTGCGCAACCTTCTCTCTTCGCAAATCTTACGCCTGATAAAATGTAACGCGCAATCTATGATTTACAGCGTAGGCGGTCCATTGGCGATGGTGATGACGTATCTAACGGAATTTCATTCCGCGAAGTACAAGCCCCGCTTCACCACATGGACGGGATTTCTCTTCGCGGTAGCGAACATCGTACCAGCAGGTAAACACGCGATCGCATGATATAGCGTTTAATGCATCGTACCTACTTATCAATAACGATATATTTCTCGCACAAGCAAATAAACGACGCAT